TTACATTTATATAAGGAACAACCGAGGAAATAAACAAGAAGAACTGCTAATAGAAATAATGATAAACAACTGTTAGAAAGTAAGAAATAAAATGATAAAATGTCACATATTTTTAAATACACATTTCTTTTCGCTTGTGAATTTGAGGTATAACTTAATGTAGTAGATAATATTGGTTGTGATATATTATTTATTAATCTAAATGTAATATGAAAGTAATTTTATTTCTACAGCATTAAAGAAAATGGCGTTCTTTGACAGGCCTGAAAATGGGAAAAGGATTGTTCAAGTAGGGACATGAACACGTGCGTCAAATTTCTTATAAAAATGAAAAATATTTACCTGTCTGTTTGATAGGAATTTTCTATTATCCAATGGATTCTAGGGTTCATGGTTTACTTTAGTTTGGTTTGTTTCACGACACATCAAATCTGTATGGGTCATTTAATAGCGAGATTTAATTTTCTTGTGAGCTTTGTTATTTTTTTGTATTGCTGGATTTTTTTTTCTATTAAAATCTATTGCTGGAATTTTTTACTATAAACATGTATTTTGCTACTTTTCACTGTTTCCTGAACACAGTCTGGAATCTAAATTAAGAGGTGGTTCCATGTTCCTCAACACCTTCCGATCAGAGGCTTTACTGCCGGATGTAGTTTGTCATCATAACCAGGACATTCTGGTTAATCTAGGATTTTGAATGTGAATCTTTAAGTCCGCAAACCCAAAGTTTGAAAGTAAAATGTGTCATTATTATTTGTTTTATCTTATTCTCTAACTGCTCCTTTACAAAAGAAGTGTTAATTTGCTGGCATTCTTCATAATATAAAGTTTCTGTTCTGGACAAAATAGAAATCATTAAAAATAAAGCTTGTTTTATTGTGACGCTAAAATCTTCATATTTATTCTAAAATTCCAATAAGTACAAGGCTCAATATTTCGCTTATTTGTCAATTACATTACACGGTAAAAGTAGGACAATCCTAAAATTAGTTACCCCCTCCAAGAAAGAATAGTGAAACAGTTTCCATCCCTGCCAGGAGGCCCATGTTCATTAATAACATTCTATATTATCTTGACATTTTCTTTAACGTCTCCTTGATAGTCTAATATATGCTTAATAAATGAATTGTTTTTTTCTGAAATGATAGGGCTTTCACTAGAGTTTAAGACAGGGCTAGTATTCAAATTGCAGTTATTCACATTTACAGAACATACCTATAAACGTCATTCTTTCATAAGGAACCACGTATATTTTATTGTATTGTATTGACTATTTATTTTTACGGCTTGTCAAACGTTTTCAGGTTGTTTAAAGCAAGAAAAATATTTAGGAACTTTTCGAATATAAAAATTTACTTATAAAATCCCTACTAATTAACCCATAGTTCATGGAGAAGAGTAGGATTCATAACTTACGAAGAATATTTGCTTCTAAGTGAATATAACTAAACCGACTGCAATTAGAACTCGGCTCTCCGATTTCCATTTACAAACCTTTATCCATTACACTACCCATAGATCCACGCTTACAGCACCAGGTATTCGGAAACGGTCACACATGTTGGTACAGACCAGGATCAGCGTTGCTTATATTCGGTAATCGTATTTTAATGTAGTGAAAAAAAGTCATTTAGATATTAATCATATTATTATTATTTAATCAATACGGAATAGGAAAAAATTGTTTCTTTTTACAGTTTAAAGAATGCATAGTACTACGACAGCTGTCTATGTAATTATCTGTTGCTGATGAACAACTGTTACCTGACTCCTAGGTAAAAATAGAAAAAAAAAAAAAACATAGAAAAATCCAGAACATCATTTGGGTATCCCATGCAGCGCTAAATACAATTTACGGAGAACTGAGATTAATCTCTCTTAAGTTAAAAAAAAACAAAAAAAAACCGATTACAAAACAATTTTTCTTGACTATTTTACATATGCCTCAAAGACTTCAATATCCGCAAAGTTTTTGCATGGGATTGATTGATCCAGTTCTACTGTATGGATCAGAAACTTGGACATTATCTGATCGTCTGGAACGACGACTGAATGGAATATATCCAAATCTTAGAAAAATCCAGAACATCACTTGGAGATTGCATGCAGCGCTTAACACAATTTACGGGTAACTGAGACCAATCTCTCTTAAGCTAAAAAACAAAAACCAAAAAAACCCCAAACTATTACAATTTACCAGCCATTGCCACAGGATGGACAGGGAAATCGTCTTATCATTCCCCCTATGGCATCGTTCTGCAAGAGTTTTCTCATGAAAATTGACTTTCCCTGATAACTTGGGATTTAGGGTTGATCATTGCGGACGTGGGGACAGCAATGTAGGACTGACCAGTGTGGAAAGATGTTGTCAATAGAATTTCAACCAATCACATCAAGTTATACTCGTGAAACGCTAGTCCGGTTAGATATGTTTGATTCACATTTGAAACAGTATTTGAAAATATTTCTACTATGCTTACCACTGATGATGTTGGTGGGATCAAAGAAGCTAAGGGAAAGCCTCTATTGTGCATGTGTTGCTAGAAACTGAAGTGTAAAGGGTGATGATGATCCTCTTAGATCCCAACAGTATATTGATTATTTCTGTAGTCATTGATGTTTCATGATATCGTAAGTCATATTTTTTGCGTGGGTGGTGTAACAAACATCAAAAGATTTGGCGCTCGAACCTTCCATCCGCCTTAAAAGTCCAGACATTTCGAACATTGACTGAACCAATCCAACTCTATGGACCAGATATTTGGACATTATCTGATCGTCTTGAAAGACGACTAGATGGAACATATACAAATCTATTTAGAAAAATCCAGAACACCAGTTGGAGATCCCATCCAGCGCTTAACACAATTTACTGAGAACTAATCTCTCTTAAGTTCAAACAAAAACGATTACAATTTACCGGCCATTGCCACAGGTATAGCGTCTTATCCTTACTCCTATGGTATCCTTCTTCAAGTTTCTTCCCATGAAAATTGACTTCACAGACACCATAGCTTGGTACTTGGGGTTGGACATTGAAGATCTGGGAATAGCAAAACAGTGTGGAAAGAGATTGTCAATGCAGTTCCGACCAACCATAGTGATGTCGAAGGATGATGAAGATCATTATGAGGATGATGATGATAATGAGCATATTTTCAGGGTAGATCGGTTATCCTCCTCTTTCATTCGGCCTTGAACCTTAATGAACAAAAGATATATTAATTGAAGTGAGTAAAATTACAGATAGCCATCCAATATCATTTAGATTCTCTCATCCCCATAACAACGCCATCTACACGAGGTATATTTATTAGGCATGTTTGAAAGTAGTAGAGTGTGATCTGTTGCATGCTCTATTCATTCTTAATGAGGTTTATATCTGGCCAGTGTGACACCAATCAAATTTCTGAAAGTCTGTTCTTGAAACCAGTTTCTAATAACACATGCACAACAGAGGCTTTCCCTTATCTTTGTTCACACTGGTAAGCATAGAAGCTAGAAAGATTTTCAAATATTGTTTCAAATGTGAATCAAATTTGTCAAAGCGGACTAGAGTGTTACGAGTATAGCATGTGAAGTCCACCATAATACACCCAAAACATGACCATGTCGCGCTCTGACATCACCTTGCTAAATCGCAGTATAGATGCATGTGTTCTCCTTTTATAATCCGTATGCTATATTCTTAAACCCAGATTCAAAGACAGTGATCTGTACAATATATTCATTAATGGTACCATTTATGTCGAACACTATGAAATAAAATCGGATGCAGTGTATGCTATAGAGTGTCAATGAGTCAATGATTCAACGGGAGGAACGTTGATTTGGCTGGGATCTGTTTCAATGTTCCTCTCTGTTTTATGTTTGTCAGTCGACAGTAGTTACTTTCTTTCATCTTCCGTATGTGCGCGCAGAGGTCAAGTGCGATTAATGAGTCTCTGATATTCACACTTTCTTGGAATATCTTTGCTACTGAAAAAAAAATAGCTGTTTTGCTACTCCAAAAAACAGCAGTTTTCTCCTCAGAGATTGTCTCATATTTATGGTCCCAAGTATTGTACGATATTAAATCCTGTAACTGTACCATAGCTACCAAAGCTACAATGCCAGATCTGCAATGTCACAGATACAATGCTACATCTACCTTACGTCATTGTCTTGTAAAGTAAAAAATCTTTATTAGAATCTTTCTGCGTTCATTTGTATTGGATATTGGAGTGCGAAACTGTTTCATTTTCAGCTTTTTCTAGGTCCTCATTGCTTTACATTCGTGTATGAGCTATGTATTTTTCAGTAGGATAGCTATTCAACTGCAGGTCGAAGGATAAGACATTTGAATATTTATTTTCAAAGAGATATGTATCTCTTAAAAACTGGCGCTATAAAATCTTATTAAAATGTTTAAGTAATTCCATTTGTCTATGCAGAGAACGAAACAGTCGTTAATAAATATTTAAGAGAGATGAAATCAGGAAGAGCAATCTGGTCGGGATTGCGTACCAGATCGATCGACGACATTTTCGTCTGTGGGTGTATTGATGAAGACCTATGAAGAGAAAGATACTCTATTTGCTATTTGCGCGAAAGTTGATCGTTTAAGTGAATATTTAATATTTTTGTCTCCAGGTTACATTTTAATTGGATATTCCAAAAAATAGAAAAATAAATAAAGTTCAAATGGAGCATTAAAATAAGGGCAAAAGAAGAAATAAAAGACAAAAAAAATGTTAAAAAGAGGAGGCGAAAAAAAAAAAAGGCGAAGAAATAAAAATAAGCCGAAAGGAGAAATGAAGAAAGTTAAAAAGAGAAGAAAGTCATGAGTTATATAAAGTGTAAATGAATTTCAATACGAGAGAAGGGAGAGGAAGAAAGAATGAAACAAAGTTATATAGAGGAGAGAAAATCAATCGAGAGATAGAAGGGCAAAAGGAGAGATTAAAAAGGTAATTTTAGAGGAAACGTTTAAAGAATCAGGGAAAGGAGAAAGAGTGTTACAAAAATTGAGAAATTGAAAGAGTAAATGTAAGAAGAGATGAAGTTGTTAAATATGGAATGGAAAAGGGATAAAAGGAGATAAGAAAAGAGTGATGAGAAAAAAGGAGATAAAAAGAAGGATAAGAAAAGAGAGGTAAGAAAAAGAGAGATAAGAAAAGAAAGATATGAAAGTAAGAGCTAAGAAAAGAGAGGTAAGAAAAGAGAGATAAGAAAAGAGAGGTAAGAAAAGAGAGATATGAAAATAAGAGATAAGAAAAGTGAGGTAAGAAAAGAGAGATATGAAAAGAGAGGTAAGAAAAAAAAAAAGAGTAAGAAATGAGAAGAAAAAGAGGTAAAAAATAAGAAAAGAGGTAAGAAAAAGAGAAAGAAGATAAGAAAATAAGAGATAAGAAAAGAGAGGTAAGAAAAGGGAGATAAGAAAAGAGAGATATGAAAATAATAGATAAGAAAGAGAGATAAGAAAAGAGAGATAAGAAAAGAGAGATAAGAAAAGAGAGATATGAAAATAAGAGATAAGAAAGAGAGGTAAGAAAAGAGAGATATGAAAAAGAGAGATAAGAAACAGAGAGATAAGAAAAAGAGAGAAAAACAAAATTGAGAAATAAGATAAAGAATAATATGAATGGAGAAAAAATTTCAAAGAAATAACGAGGGAGGAGAAAGAACAAAAGAGAGGAAAAGTAAAGGAAAAAGAAAATAAAATGGAAATCTGGAAAGGGAAACATAAGAATTGGAAAGAGACAAGGAAAAGAAAAGATAGAGAAAGCGGAAAGAAAGAGGCATTAAAAGTCAACGTGAGAAAGAATATATATCAAATATTCGAACTGAATGAGAAAGAAGTAAATAAACTCTTTTCAAGATTTCATAAATGCTTGAAGACAAAAAACGGGTGAGAAAAAGTTCAATATAAAACGATTCTATATAAGAAGTAAAGCAAACAAAATGTATGTTTTTTGCATCATATTTTGCAAAAAGCAATTCGTTTTATCTTCTATCATGATTATGTATAGGATTCGTTACTTGTTCTTTAACTTTTGCCTTCTAATGTCAGGTTTCATACTTATTACAGTCAGAACGCTGAAAAATAGATGAAAGAATAAATAAAAAATAAAAATTATCAGAAGTCGAGTAAAAAAAAAATTACGACTGCAAATGAGACCTTGATCGACCTAACCAATCGAAAATGCCAGAGGCTGAAAAAACGGAACTATAAGGAAATAGATAATTGCAAAATTAGTTTTAAATAGTTAAAAATAAGTAGCAAATATATACAGGCCAGTCCTAAATTGACACTAATTTCCACTGAAAATAAACAAATTAAAACTCAAAAGCATATTCGTAAATGATATTTATTTAGGAAGTTGCAATTTTGTGTTCTTTACTTTTATTTGAATGATTTTTTTCCATATTAGAAACCAATATATGCGAAAAAATTTAACAACATGAAAACATCGATTTATTGTAGAAACAGTGAAATGATTTGGGTCGATGATCACGTAGGGTATGGAGAAATGACGAATAAGTCTTCGTTTACAGCTTGAAACGTTTTCCTCGGAACACGGGAAAGTTGCCTCATGAAATGCCCATCAGATTTGACTTCAAATTTATATTTTTAAACCGTAGTTCATTTCTCACGTCGAAACGTCGAAAAAAACAACCACAAAAAACACATTTTTGTCGTCAACATTAAAATGCGTGTCTGTTCATAATCCGATTTATCCAACTCTGTCCCGAATATAAAATTGAAATACCAAGACGATGTGATTGTTAGATGGGAAACTTAATAATCTCAATGTCCACTTAACTGACATTGTTTCCTGTGAATAAATACTGGGTGTGATGTGTACCTTATTGCCATTTTATATTTTTAATTTCGCGCATGCGTGTTGTTTGTTTTTGGTTATTTGATTGCAGTGTAAGTTAGGGTCAGACTGCGAGTAAAAGAGTACCATGACGCAATTCAATCCGCTAGAAATATTAAAAACGGCATGCTGTAATTATTGGCATTCGTGGCGGAAGATCCAATGTGAAGATTTCTTAGTGTTTGGGTGTCAATCTGAGAACATTACAGAGAATTCGAAAATAGTTGGATGCTGATTACGAAGGCGTATAGGATTATAACTGGTGATGGTGACGTTATGCCTGTATTCACCTTCCTACACGGCCTCAGACTCAACACGGAAGTCTAAATCCTCTTGAGGAGATACTGCTGTCCTGGGTTAAGAGGGCGGCTGCTATGTCTGGTAACGTAACTGCACCATGCCACACAATCAGGAGAACTCAGTCAGGGCTGTCAGACAATTTCTGCAACAAAATTACTCCTTACATCTGGCCACCTAACTCCCTAGACTGGATCCCCCTTAAATATTATGTGTGGGACACAGTTGAGCGAGAAATAAACAAAACTCCTTCTAACACGAAAGATAAACTGAAGGTAAGGATTATGGAAACGTTCACCAACTTAAAAAAGGAGACCATCCAGAAGAGATAGAGGAATTTGTCTGGAGACTATGGTTGAAGCGAATGACGATTATATTGAATAAATTTACTCTTTAGTATTTCAAAATATTTTTGTGCAATTTTGCTAAATATATCTGTTTAAATGAGATGTCAGTGTCACTTTTATTTTTGCGTAATTTAGACGACAATTTATCCATCGAGGCATGTATGTATCTGATTGATTCTTCTACAATCTATAATGTTTACTTCACCTACATAATTAGCTCTCCGTTAGATATCACTCGCAATGACTTCGACTTGATTCAGCAAATCAAGCACACATTCTACCAATTATATAAAACGGTCTCAGTTAACTAGAAAAGGCAGGGCGTGTAAGGATTTAGAACCTTCGCCATTCAATAATTGAACAGCAATACAAGTCAGATGATATTATCAGTGAATCAGGTTTTATCACGCTAATATGAGTTATGAAGAAAAATCTCCCTAAGATGAAATGTTGTTTTAAAGGAAATAAGACCATCAGACTACATAACTATTTAAGGAGAGTTAAGAAAGAATGATGTTTACATTTGCAGGCATTGGCCCCAAGAGGTTTACCGAGCAAGATAAAATCCCTGTGTTTGTCCTTAAGTATATCGATCCTGAATTTCTTAACTGCTGCTTAAATGAAAAATAATCCCCAAGGTAATGGAAAGTGACAAGAGTATGCCCAGTTTTCAAGAACACGGGTGAGCACTCATACTCATATCAATATCAGACTATCAGCCTCCTTCCTGTCGATTGTAAAATCCGTGAGGCTGTAATCAACAGGAATGTTGTCGAGAACCTAAAAAATGACAACCTCTTGAACCACAAACAATACGGATTTTGATCTGCTGTGTCCGGTGTTGATATCTATTCTTCATAGAATCCACGTGGCATTAGAAAATAGAAACATCACGACGATGATCGCATCAAACATATGTAAAGTTCTGAGAAACTGTCTCACAGTGATTGCGGCACAAGCTCTTTAGCTATGGAATAACTGGGAGAGTTTTCGCAATTATCAAGTGCTTCAGGTAGGTCGATGAAGTACCATAAGGTCGATGAGATCAATACAGCCGTGCTACAAAGTTCGCTACTCGGTGCGATCATCTTCTTGTTTTGTATTAATGTTCTAAGAGATTTTGCAAATAGCTATGCAAATGATACAATGGTATATATGCGTCCACCCCAAAAAATCTTTGAAAGCCTAATAGGATTGAAGCGCTTTCGTGACCCCAGGCAGAGCTCCGACGCTAAAGCTAGTCCCCATTTCTAGTAAGTACTTGATGCCTCCTAATTTACAAGAGCCAGATCTGGCAGATAAAGGATTACTATTCCAGACGAATCCGTTACATTCGGTATCTAGCCACCCCCACCCCACGAGGGTTTCATGTGGCACAAGGCCGAGTTTATCGTGGGTTTCCCGAGCCCGTAGGCTCGGCCAAAAAATGCCCGTATAACCCGTATAAACGAGATCGGGATGGTCATTTCTCCCCGAACGAGATTCTGCCCTTCGGCGGAACCTCGTCCGGGTTCCTCTCTGCTCAAAAGCAGGGAGTTCGACAGTCGAAAAGCTCGGCTTGATCCGTTACATTCACTTACGTGCTAATACACTTGGAAAAGGTATTAATCCTCTTCTTCTCCCACAGCTATTGGTAAATAGCAGTAAAGACCGGGTTCTGTAGCTTTAGATGGCAACTGGTCTACCGCAGAAAGAATTGGCCACCTACTGCGGAAAGAAAAACTGCCTCGTCAGTCATGTATCTTTCGATACATGATCGCATAAAAGTGTATCATGCATGGCACATAACTAAGTGACTGATATCATATATCGGCTGTTGCTGCCTAGTCCTCCACTCTCAGGGTTTGATAGAGTCAAAAAGCGTTTATGCGGTTTTGTTGATGAATTGTTTTCCGGTTTGTAACCACTTTTTCTCACAAATGAAATGTTGCTAGACTATCGTTACTCTAACGCTATTTCCCTGGAAAATATTAAAAAAATCTCTCAGTTAAAATACAACACCCAAACAAATATACGGTGAACCCTCATCATGCCATTCAAATTCCTGTTGTTTTGTGGAACAGAATACCAGGGAGATGCATTCCCTGATATTAAAAACGTTTAACCTTACGGTTACCCGTTCCCTCGTTAACTCTTATCCCCTCAGACAACGACTGCTTCTACCAGGGGTGACCCTTGGGCCTCGCCTAAAATGATCATAAGTAAAAAACACTAAAGAAAAAGAAATGAAGATTACCATCATATTTGTTAAATTTTCATGTACCTTTCTAAAAATTCTGCAATGAGAATCTCCTTTGATTTACTTCCTCTATCTTCAGTCATTTGATTCTCTGGAACTTATTTGTCTTTCTCACCGTATGACAATTATCTCGATAACACCCCTCAAATCTGTTTATTTTCATCGGCGCTGTCAGACACTCTCTGAATAGATTTATTTAAAAATTTACTTGCTTACTTCACTCTATCTTAAGTGAACAAAGGCTTTCAATTTCATGGGGGAATTCCTTTTATATACTTGCCAAGTTACAGAAATTTTATATTGGTTATTCTGACGAAAATGACATAATTGCAAATAAACACAACACAATGATTCTTGGTCTGATGAATTATGAATAGAAACATATTTTAAATGTCGTCTGCGACATTAAAATTATTAAAATATCTAAGTAAACCCCTCAACTTTGATCAATTATTTTCAACGTTATTAATATGAAATTATTAATTCTTTTAATTTATTATATTTACATCACAACCAACTTGATAGAATAGATCGCAAATAATGACATTTGGTCTCACTTATACAAGTGGGTAAAAAATTATATATGAGCGTTCAGGGCTGAAAAAAGCGTGAACGTAGAATAAAGTGATTTTTCCATTGTTAAGTACGAAAACTTTTGCTCTGTTTGTTCACACTAACATCGCTGTATTTTGTTTAGTACACACACACAGACACACACACACGCACGCACACACACACGCACACACACACGCACATATATATATTACTGCATGTTTCATTAAATAATATAGACAAGTTTTGTCTATTTTAAGTAAGTTCCTTTCATATTGTCTGATAAGTTTAATCATATTATCATTGAAAGACGAAAGGAAATCACCATATTGATACATGTTTACACAAGCCAATATCAAAGATGACAATCAAACAAAACACGGACGAAACAACAATGATGCTGCATGAAAATTTCAAGTAACTGCAAA